TTGAGATGCAGACATTAATTGTTCAGTAAATAAATAAAATTTGTTATTTGTTATAAACTAATGGTGAATCTCAATGAAACTTTGCATAAGTCATATTTAGTACTTAATATATTTATATAAAAAAAAAACATTTCGATTTTTCTTATTATTTTAACAATTTTTGTTTATAATAAAACTAATAACAAATAAAATAAATAATCTATAAAAATGTGTTGCTCAATAAAACCAGAATGTTATGAACACTACTTTCACATGTATGTAATTTGTTTAAAGCGTCAATATTAATATATGTGTTTTATGCCCTTACAACCTCCTTAAGCTTAAAACATAAAAGCGAAGCAAATTGGGCGATCAACTGTTGAGTCTGCTAAATGCAGCCTATGCTTATATTAAATAAATTGATTTGTCAAGTTACTCAGTTCTCGCTTTTATTTTTGACTAAATTATAAATAAAAAAAAGATAATCTTGAACACACAGTAATTCCTCTCGAGCAAGTGCGAGGAATCAGAGTAAAATATATATATACATATATCTGTGTGTGCATGTGTGTGCGCGCGCGCGCACATACATATAGTCATTATAGTAATCTGTAATAAATATTACGTTCAACGATATACATGTACAATAAAAACAAATTAATTTTTATAAACTATGCTGGATTAGATGGTAATCCCATAGACCATGCGTCCAGCAACTTTTTATCCTGAGGTCCAGCACCCAAACTGAGCATAAGTCCAGAGAGATCGCCACGATGGCCTCGTCCACGCATTGCATGAACAACTTTTGCAATACTGCACACAATAACAGAAATATATATTTAATTACTATATTAAAATAATATGTATGATTTAAGAGAGAAAAAATATATGTTCAAACATAAATAATTGCATATATATGCTTAAGAAAATATCTGATATCTCTGTTTAAAATTAATATGATGGAAGTGAAATAAACCAGTATATATAAATGACAACAATTCATACTTGGCCCATTCTTCCTGAAGAGTCGCAAAGTGTGCTTTAAGAACCGAGTTTCCAAGTTTTTCATTATCGAGTGATTTTTCAATTTTTGTTAGCAGGGTCGGAAGTTTTGTTGGTAAAGAACCAGTCCACTTAACTATATGAGATTTTGCATTCTCAACTTTGTGTTCATTAAGTATTATATCTAATCTGCATACAGTTGCACAAGGTAAGGGAACTGCTACTGAAGTATCTACACCTAAAAATTTTAATCCAATATTGTTATAAAATATTTCTTTTATAAAATACAATATGTATATATAAGTTATGTTCTTTATAATAGTACAGTACCGATAAAGTTACATGTGTCAGGATCCATGTATTCCAATGTTTGTGTTTTTACCCGTCGACACGCTCTTGGAACAAGACTGCTAAGTCCATACAAAGATTCCAATCTCTGAATCTTTGGACCTCTCACCAAGACTTGAACACCAGTTAAACAGGAATACAGCAATTGTCTAAAGTGATCTTTCCCTAGTATTTGTTTTATTTTTCGTAAAATTACAGCAGTAGACCTTTCCGCAATTTCAGAAAATTCCGGCAAAAGTTCAGAATCATCCCAGTTAAAATTAAAATTTACTGGCAATTTTGCGTTCAATAAAGTAAACCCTTCTTCAGTTTCTGTAAATTATATTTGATATTATGACTTCCATTAGGAAAAAGGTTTATTTTAATACCGATTATTATATTATAGAATATAGATAGAAGAAAATACTTATAATTGCTAACCAATTTGATGTTCAAAATTATAATTAAGTTCATCATCTAATAAACTTATTGGGAAAATTTCTATAAAATGTCTCGCACCAGCACTGAGGATCCATACTAACCACATGTGAATTCTGAAATATTTATATATATAATTTGAATGTAATTATAGCAAATAACCGTAAAAATGGTACACAATATTTTATCGCAATTTACGTGCAGGATTAATGTAACACTTACCTTACAAAAACATGCTTTTCATTTGTTATATCGGTAAGTGTTCTAGATTGTTTAATAGAAGTACTATGACAGCCCATTCCACCATTTGCTGTCGTCAATCTCATTGCTCTTTGCGGACATTCTGCTTCTTCTACATTATATCTTCTCTCTGCAAAATCTTGTAGTTCTCTAATTACCTCTTTTAAATTGTCAATCAAAAATGGCCACATGTTCAACAAGAATTGTTTATCTCTCATAAAAACAATAAAACTGCACCATCTTCTAAATCCTCTTGCCTATAAAGAAATGAATGTATCATTCTTTAAATGTGCCAGTATAAGAATGATAAAACAAAAGTGAGATCAAATCTTTAGATTCCAGAGCAATTTTAAATAGCATGGTTTGAAAAATTTGTTGTAATAACTACCAAACATGCTTTTTCGTTGCATAATTCACCTGGGCATCTTTCAATGTAAAAGTATGACTTAAAACATGCCCCCTGTACTCATCTCCAAAGTAGCAAACACCTTCTTTACCAGGATGCACTTCACAACTTAGACTCCTTGAAAAAAAAAAAAAAGATTTATAATAATGAGCTTTAAAAAATTAAAAGCATACACATATTATACATTTTGTGTATACTTAATATCAAATATGAAACTTTAATCTTTAATAAAATCATTATGATTTATAAATAAAATATATTAATATATAATATAAAATATATTATATATATAATAATTCATATCCTTACAATATAATTTTTTAATATAAAATTTGTAAATCAAAAAATATAAAAAACACAATATACCTGATGCAAGCATGCTTTAGCAGGTTTCCTATATCTTGCATTAATGATTGCTGAGCAGACAAAAAAGATGTTCTTGTTTCATGCTCGTTACTTAAATATTTAACATTCCCAATACTTTGACAGCCCTCGCATTCATCTTGTCCATCCTCCAAGGAAGCATGACCTTGTCTCAACACTTCTTTAGGTCCATAAAATTTTAGTTTTTCTGTATTCTGTGTATCATAGTTACGATACGTTTGCGTGGTAAATATCACTTTAGGTCCGTGTATTTCACAGAAGGTGCACAATGCAATTGCAGCATTCATTGCTCTTGGAAAATACAGATTTTTAGAAATCCTTTGTATTTATTTCAGAAAATAATCCAAATATTATTTATTATGATTCTTCACATGATCTTGGATTATTAAATAAATAGAATAGCCTAAAAGTATATTCTTTATAAGTTTTATGCATTCTACAATCTGCAGTACCTATACATACAGACTTATATATGTATAAATGAATAGAATTATCTTTTATTACAATAATATTGTAAGATATATTATAAAAATATCTAATAAATTAAAATGATGGTTATATTCTACGAAATATGTATTATATTAGACATTCGTAGAATATGGTCCACATGAATGTAATTAAATATTTATGTAATTACAATTTGATTTACAAGATTGAATCAATTTCTAACATAACCTCTGTTAAAATACTTTTATAACACGTAAATCTATTATTTACCTACTTCTTCGTAAATTGCTCAGCAAGACTTCACGACGAAGTTAATTTTTTTCATCCTTTTCACGTGATAAAACAAAAATGAAGTCGGGGCAGAGACACGTGACATTATGATAGCTAATCTCGACATTCGCACAACGAATGCACGTACACGCACATACATACATACATACCTGACATACACATATGAACAAAACTAAATTTACACATTTGCATGTTACATATTGCATTGCATATCTTACACTATTTTTATGAATAAGTTTACTAGGGCATTAAGAAAAAATATTAAGGAGAAACGAAAGGAAATTTTCTTTTCTCTTCTATACATCAAATTCGTAACCAAATTTCAATTTAACACCTTCATAAGCAGCTCTCATCCATATGCCTACGGCATGTGCTCCAGGATGTGGATATTTGAATGTCTACATATATAAATTACGATAAATTATAATTCTGCTCCAAATATTTAAATAACTATTACATGTATGACATACATATGTATACAAAACATTAAATAATACCTTGCAATTATTTGTAAAATCAATAGAGAGAGATCCTGACATATGTACAGTTTGCATAGCGAAAGTTTCGGCAGCTTTGACAGCTTCCCCGAATGCACTGATAGGATTTAAACCTGAACTTAATGCGTCTCTTAATTTATTTTCCGCAGGTATCAAAGCATCCAACATGGTTCGATCACCAATCGATGTCCCGCTAACCTCAGATATCATCTTGTTTGCAGATGTTAGAGCGGTTAACCACATATTAACAGTAACTTGATCATCATTCCGAAACTTAAGAAAACTCTAAAATATTTGTTAAAATTTCTTCTCAATCTTAAAGATGAAAAAGGATTGTACTGTTGAGATAATCTTACTTTAGCAGCCGTATCAAAAAATAACGAGTATATTCCACCTCCTAAGCTACCCATTTCTTTTTCAATAATATGGCTTATTTGTATAAATGTTACAAAAGGTCTCGTTGCTAAAATTCTCCCTTCCTACGATGCATACGAATATTTACAATTGTTGATGAAGAGAAAAAAGATTTATAGGTACTTTCTTTATTTCGTTCATTGCATAACCTTGATTGCCAATTTTATGGCACTGGTACTTTGCGCAAGTAAGGTTCCATAATTTCCATCACCACATTCTCCATCCATTATATCAAGTTGTTTTGCACATCCTATTAAAGCTTGGCAGGCAAATGTTAAAACTATAAGAAACGCTGAACTATTCTGAGGTTGCATTATTGGTCCTATATTGGATACATTGTCTTTACATGCCATCTGCAATTAAAAAACTTACATTATAAACGGTAGAATAAAAATCATTTACAATTACAGAATATATGTCTGAATTTATAACTTATGACTGGCAATTAAATAAATTAAATTGATATTACCTGGGAATTTTGCTCTTCCACTTTATGTGGCATTTCGTCATCCTTCATCATAATGCGCGAAACGTAATAATTGCAGTTTTATTTCAATATTTCTAAATTACACTGTACCGATGTTGACACGTGCGTTCACGTAGACACACACACACAACTGCACACAACTGCATCTGACTAACTACTCTAGTACTCTATAGAAGAGATTTTTTTATTGAATTGAAATACTCAGCAATACTGAGCTCTGCGAAACAACATGGCGACTCACGATAAAATTTTCATTGGCTCAAATATCTGGGTATCAATCATGAAACTTTTTTCCTAGGATGAAAAGTGTAAAGTGAAAAATTTCTCCATTAACTTCAATGGTAAAAAAATTTTTACTTTTCACTTTCCATCCTAGAGATAAAGTTTCATAATTGATACCCTGCGCGTCATGTTTATAGAATCAAATAGTGAATAAAATGAAATGTTGGATCTGCATAACATTACCGTAAATTTAATTGTTACACTACGCGTATATATATATATATATATATATATATAATATATATCACAAATCAAATATATCGGACACAATAATTGACGATAAATTAGGATAATGTTATCTTTTCTCTTAATTTTAGTTGCTTCACTATTTGTAAGCAATTATAATAATACATACTTATTTGCGTTACATGAGAAACAGTAAAATAGAAATAAAGTACAACTTGAGAAGAAATATTTCTGTATGTATAAAGAGGTATTTATTCATGATCGTGTAAAATTCAACTGCATATAGTTGAATTTTATCGCACTACATGACGACTACTCTCGCAAACTGCGCTTTGTCAGACGCGTAATATTGTGGCATTTAAATTGTCGCTAATCGGATGCTCATTGCAATAATCCGATAGATACGTAACAATACGAGAGACAATCAATTTAACTTGCCATAATATATAACAATTCGATGAGTGAGCTCAACAATATGGATTACATCACCAATTGATGAGCGAGCTGCAACTCGACGAATAATATGACGATTTTCTTACATATATATTATCAGTCTACAAATTTATACTAAATTTTTGCTGATGTAAAAGTCGAACACAAATCGTCGTAACAAATACCCGCAACATTATGTCATGCATTCACGCGATCGTTGCACGCAATATATATACAACATTCTAAGAAGATTAAAAATTCATCAATCTCGCAGGATTCATACCGCACAGCTATGGATCTTTTGCTTATACTTATGTTAGCTCCATTTTGGTATAAGCATTTTGGTATACGTACTGGATTCTTATTCGATGTAGGTTGAAAACCTAATCAGAATCAGGATCTTTTAACGATTGAGTTAACGTATTCGCGTACCTTGCGTCATTCTACTTTATTGTCCACCAAAAGTTTGTGAAACTCTGCTGCAGCGTTTCAAAGCTCTATACAAAAACGCCAAATATTCTGCACCTCATTAAAATTGAGCAAATCTAACAATACAGCAACAATAAAGTATCAATATTTTGCAGAAACTTTAACAAATGCTTATAAACAATCGTTATTAAATCATTTAGATTATTAACGCTATTATTGCATACATGTATATATATATATATAATATATATATATATACACACACACACACACACACACACACCAAGCTTGCAAATATACTGACTTATCGCTTCATAACATGTGATATGATCGTATGCGTATTATGTACAACTCGAGTGATATTTTCACAGGTAATTTGATACGACTTGATACATATGTTAAATTCATATCCGAGATCCATATTTAACACTATTTCATTAATTTTCGAACTCGGCCAGATTTTAATCACATATTTAAAACGCGATACTAGTTAATTTGCGTAGCGCGAGCTGTGATACTACTTTTAAAGTAGTACAAGTCCTTGGAAAAATAATCTTAGCTTTATACGAATATCTCAGAGTGACTTGGTGATATTGTTAAACAATCGTTTGCCCCACCAAGATTCCAAATCAAACGGTTTAAAGTCTGAAACAATTTATTAATATTTTGCCATTTACTTTGTACAATCAATTACAGTAGATAATATAACAAAAGAATATTAATTACTCCTAAGGCGCAAATCAATTACTTCTTAGAATATTAATCTGATATAATTGTGAATAGTAATATCACACTTACCTTGCAGATTATTGTTTGGTTCACCATCATTGTAATATACTATTGAATCCTTAGGACCTAGTGTACAAAACATTAAACTATATATAATCTAGAATGTCTTTCTTTTTAATAAATATAATGAGTACGAGCGCATATACATGTATACATATACATATATACATATACATATGTATATATGCACATACATGTCCCAATCACAAATAAATCATAGTATGTACACGACAGAGACATAACAATAATTTTTCACGAAAAATAAAAAATAGAAAAATCTTTTAGAAAAAAATGCATATAATTTTCAAACAAAAAATTTTCTGATAGAGATGTATCTATATGTTTTAGTTGGTTGTACATGTATATTGCTACTTACTGCAAAGTTCTGTACATTCTGTATCATCGCAACATTCGTTTCTTTGCAGTGTATTAACTTGATTCCATGCTGTTAAAAATAATAAACAAGCGGAAATTATTTAGTCCAACATTGGAAAAAATACATATATCAGCACACAATATATATTTTTTCCGACTAAAGTGTCATTTTCATTACTTTTTTCATACTTGATACGAAATTAACTATAAGCTTTATTTCAAACATGTATGTAAAGTGCTTTCTTACTTACATTCATAAATAAATTTGATAAGTTCCTCATGCTGTGGAGTAATAACTTGTTGCATCTGATGTCGCTGTGAGATAAACTTGGATTTCCCATTCATATGGAAGACTGGCTTTGGTACGTGACTGCGAATATGAAATACATATATATATATATATATATATATATATATATAGAAGCTTTATTACAGACATAGCATACAAATATAATGGAGCAAGTAGTTTTTTTTCGTCACACGCGTTTATTATACACATGCAAATCTTACGCAATACGCAGTGAAATGTGAAAAAAAATTATTTAATTGTCCTAGGAAATACAAAGAAAAATCAGTTTCAATAGACGATATATTTGCAATGCGTTTCATTAGATATACTCCATTAGGAATTTCAACGATACGCATCAATTACGTTAATAGTTTGACGATTTTACGGAACAAATTCTGATGAATTGCGTAATGTCGAAAGCAGCGGTGGCTGCCCAGTGGAGGAGAAGCAATGTGAAAAAGTTGCGTCGAGAAAGGGGTTAGGCGCCACTCTTTCTTTCTCTCTCACCAGGTGATCTCGTGGTCGTCTTCGATATCGGTCTTCCTCGTCAAATCGCGCAAAGTTTCCAGTCTCTCGAGATTCTGACTGATCCCTACGAAAAACGGAAATTCAATTTGGAAGCTCCAAATCATAATCTACAATTGTCTACAATTGTCGTCTAGGGTCTAGGCTAGATAGGCGGCATTGAGAAATCCAAATTTAGAGTACTACCTCGTCGTGTTTTCGCTACAATCTTGCTAGGTCCTTTTGATACGGTATACATGTTCCTCGTCCTCGGATAAGCGTGGAAGCTTCTTTTCGCGAACACAATGCCAGGTCATCCGCGATCAATCGTCACGCCTGTCGCGTGTTCTCGAGCGACTCGTTAGCTCGTTACTGCTCGTTGCTACTCAATAGTCTCAATATTCGTTGGCCGATTGAAACAAACTGCCTGAAACTGTCGAAACTACCGAATGATGCCGAATGCCCGAATGCCGATATTGCTAATTCAGCAAGGCTCAACTCTAAAATCAGCTGAAGCGAAGCCAGCGGTGATTCGAGTGATTGCCGGCTTACCACTGCTCAAGTGCTCGCAAGTCGCAAGGCTCTCGCTAGTCGCTCATCTCAGTCTTACTTTACCCTTACTCTCTTACCACCCATCCATCGCTGTCCATCGCGACTTACGATTACGAAATCGTTGATCGCTCTCGCTCTCGTCAGGCGTCATCAG